AAAAAAATTTCTATTGTACAACATGAATTTCGCGATGAAGTCCTCCAGGATGATTAATGAATAATTCAAATGTAAAGTGATTTATGACTCCTGTTTTTATTTTCTTTTTGTTTTTGTGTTGTGTTTTGCCCTTTCTATATTTCTTTTGAATTCCGTTTTTTTTTAGTTTTTGTGTAAATTTTTCCTTTTTTTACCATAGTTAAATGTAAATAAAATGAGCGGTATATATACAATGAAGTAAAATAAATAACAGTAATAATATAATAGAATATAACTGTAATGACAATAATAATAATAGATTTTCCTTACTAACTCTCTGGTTCTCTTTGTTTTCTTGTTTGTTATTGTACGTTTTTTTTCTTTAACCATCATCAGGTGTCTTCATTATTTTTTTTTTCTCTTTTCCTGACATTTTTACTTATTGCTTTACCACTATGTGTTCCTTATACTTCTTTTGTTTATTTTTTTTTGTCGAATTTGCTAAGATAACGTTGCATAAAGAATTGAATTTTAAACGTCAAAGAAGAAAAAGTATCAATTGTAGTGGTGGTTATAGAGAAGATATTGTGGTGGATAAGAGAAAAGAGAGTGGTGGATTCTTTTTCTTAAGTCTACAAAGGAAAAAAAAGTCTTTAGTTTTAATTTTATTAAAAAATCTTGTTTACATTTCGAATTTTTTGAGGCATAGGAAAAGTACCGGACGGAAGAGTAAATAAGAATTGTAACAGTTTTCAAGGATATTCTTCATTATAGATTTAAATTTTTACAATGAAAGAGCAAGAAATTTAGTGTGGTATATTTAGAACTGGAAGTCTTTGACAGTTGGCTAAATAAAGAAAGAAATGCCTTCGACAAAAATTAAAGTTTTTGAGAAAATAGAATTTTCAATTAGTTATGCAATATCCGATATCCGATTACCTACTGTAAGATATCCGAAAATGCACTGTTCCATTTCAACTTCCAATGTTATTTAAAACTCGGGTATAACTTAACCGGGTGGAATGGTCTTTCTTATTCTGAGATGGATTTCGATTTTAAATGACTCCTTTGAAATGCTGTCTTGTTGTTTCTGCAACGTTTACCAATCCTATTACATTTACCCTACTAACCATAAAGGCTATGTATCGATTTGACCAGTTTTTTCAATGAATTCAGAAGGTTTGGATTAAAAAACCAATATGACTGTTAAAATATTATTGAGTTTTTACGGAATAGTCATTTGAATTGATAATACACCTTTCGTCTTGCAAATCTCGTACAGTACTGTATTTTGAGTAAAAGAGAGTCCCTTTTGTAAAATATTTCCTTGTAACTGTATACGACAACGTAACTATATAGTATGTGTATATAGTATGTGTGAACATAGATGATGCTTGTAAATTTGATTTTTTTTTGTTGGTTCTCGGTGATTGTTTGATTTTATTCGTTGTCATCATCATCATCCTCTTGCAAAAACGAAATTAAGCAAATGATATGCTTGGAATATTATTTGATAAAATATTTAAATAAGAATAAAAATAATATAATAGGAAAAAATTATTTATATATTAAAGTATAAATTGATTTATAGAAGCAGATAGATATATCCGGAGGCATATTGAGTTTAATATACGTGGTGACATCAAACAAAAATTTGAGGACAATTGATTAAACCGAAACTTGTACATAATCGAATTTTTTACAATTAGTTTTGTTAATTAAAAATAGAATTGTTTACGAATGTATTCAAATATGGAAAAAAGCGAAAGTGAGAACGACGTTTATAGAGAATTTGATCTTATTTAAACCGTTTTACGTTAAGTTCGAGATGTTTTTTCTGATTCCCATTTTAGTCACGTAGGTTTGACTCTTACACTTCTGTAATATTTCATTATTCCATTTACTCTGAGTCGAGACATACAGCGAGTGTATCACAAACGTACTTCAGAAGTGTTTTATTCTAAACCAACACCTAGCATTCATACAAAAAATTTTCCTATTCCAGACAGAGCCGACATATATTTATTTTACTTTGGTAAGTCCTCTATATCGGAGATCAGCACCGAAGAGACAATATTGAGTGACTCAAATCTCGTCAAATCTAATAAAAACTTTGAGGGCTTTTTAACATTCCTACATAATGCAAATAAACGTGTGCTATCTATACTCTTCAAACAATAGGGAGGAATTTCTCTTGTTAGATTCAACTGAGTTTTCCTATATTTTTTTTTATTTATTTTGTATAATTTTCTTAATATTCAAATTTGTAGAATATATTATATTATAGAAGAATGAAAGGTGAAAAACAACAAGAAAAAAAAAATAACATTTTTCTTTATTTTTTCTATAAAATTACAAGAAAATAACTGTAATATAGGTGGAAGGAGGAAAAATACAAGTTCACAACACCGGAAGGTGATGATTATTAATTTGTTTGAGTTGATGGAATTTCAATTAAAGATTTTCTTTTAAATTTTTTTCTTTCTTTTCTAATTGTTTTTGTTTTTCCCGTATATAAATATAATATAGTTCTATATAGTTTTGGTATTGGGTTCTTTCAAAAAAATTTCTTAACTGTCTTCGATAATAATATAATGGAAAAAGGATATTTATATAAGTCCTTGTGATTAATGTAATATGTATTTAATATACATATTACATACATATAGTAGTAACCCTTATAGACTAAAGAGACGTAGTACTTTGTGAAAATTTTCAAATAAAACTTTCAGTTCAGTTGTTAATAAAGCTAAGCCAAGAGAATTCTATACACAGAAGTTACAACAAGCTTATAAGAAACAAGTAAACACCTATTCGTCCTCAAAATGCTACAAAGAGTATTGTTATCGATAGGCTTTTCTATGTGAATAAATTTGATCTGATCAATGACACGAGCTCAGACCTTAATTGGGACTACCAAAAATGTGTATCCAGTATAACAGAGCTTAATTACAAATGTTAAAAGTTATAGTTGATATCTATGTACAAATGGCTACTTAAATGCTGATTACGCGTTATTTTGGTTATTTCAGAAATTCAATTTTAATTGGTAAAAATTTGTACAGATTGAAAGCGACTCATAATGCGAAAAAAATATTCTGAGTAATTCCCTTCTTAGCGTTACTTAAGCCTAATACTTTTCAATATTAAATATTGTATTATAAAACTCAAAGATTGAGTAGCCAACGTACTGTAAAATACTCGTTGCTAGAATTTCGTGCAGTAATGTAAATTTTCGTGCAGTAGAGTAAAACATACCTGTTTAGGTTTAATATTTTAATTTTTATTTTTGTTCGGTTATAATAGTTGAATTGAAAGGATAATATTTTTTCTTGTTGTTTTATTAAAGGAGAATAAGAGATGGCATATATTTAATATGATAGTTAAGTATATAGTAAGTGTAGTGTTGTGAAGTTAGAGGAAGAAAAGAATCTGTCGTTATATTGTAATGGGAAATAAATTTTGAGAATTGAATGAAAAATTAAATAGGCTTTAAATTCATCAAATAATTTTTTGCTTATTATTTTCTTTTTTGGAAAAAATTTGAAAAATAAATGAAAATTATTTATTTTCATTTTATAAGTTTCATTTAATAAAAATGGAATGTAATTTAGATTTTCTTAACTTGATATTTTTGATGAGTAATAATAAAATTAATATTAAAAATTTATAATTAAAAAGGATTTTGAAATAAATTAAGAGTAACAATAAATAAATTTGGATTAAATTACGGGTTTGGGAAATAGCACACACTTTACTTAAACTCAGTGATCAAAGCTCACCGCATTGCTCGTTCAAATAATCACTTTGAGATATTGAACATAAATTTGGTATAGTATATAGCTTAAAAATGAGCCATTGTAAATTGAAATTTTGTTAAATTTAATGAGAGACGGAGGGAGGATTCAATGACGGGTAGAGCTATAAAAGAAATTATTAGTTTAATGACATAATAGAGGATCGTTGCAGTCGTTTTGTTAATGTAACATTGTACGTCTATCTCACCATAATTGAAGGTGAATAAGCGAGTTTGTATTTTTTCTACGTTTTCAATATTTCAATTTGTGTTGATAGTGGTTCGCCTTTATAAATTAATTGAGAGGGAAGGCGATTTAATGGTAGAAGGAAACTATAGTCTAATGAGATATAGTGGAGAATCGTTACAGCCATTTTGCTAATATTACATTGTACGTCTATCTCACCATACTCCAAGGTGAATAAGCTAGTCTCTTTGTTTTAACGTTTTCACAATTTGAAAAGAGCGTTGGGTTCGATTTCATAAATTAATTGAAACGTGGTATTTTTCAAGGGTGTTATTGAATGTGAATTTTCTAACCATGTGCTTGTGGTTTCGACTTCAGCTATTGAATATTGAAAAATAATATCCTAAATATGTATGAAAGGACAAGTAAAGCGCAAATTTACTTGTAAAAATTTTTTTAAAACAAGCTAAAATCGAGTCAAAAAACATTAAGATTTTTCACTTCTTTCGTTCTAATTAAAAGTAACAATAGCCATTTTTAAAGTTCTGTTAATGTTCATGATTGATTTATGATGTTCGTAGTTATGTAATCATATTTATATACATACATATAATAACATTTATAATTTAATAATTTGAAATTAATTTCTACATAATTCAAAGGATATTTTCCTATAGTACAAAGCAATTGTATTTGAAAGATAAAAGGAATATTTTTAAAATTTTATGAGTAAAAGGTAAAGGATTTTATTTTAATAAAATTTATGAAAAGGATATTTCAATCAATTAATGAATTTTTAAATATTTTCAAAATTTAAATTGAATAATTCTCAATAAATTTAAATATTTCCTGTTCCTCTTTATTACAACATTTATTATTTGGTTGTTGAATTTCTGTATCAATATTTTCAAATGATTTTAAATTTTCTAAAGGTGGACATTTTTTTTCTAATAAATTTGATTTCATTATCATTCCATGTTGTTTATAAGCACAGAATTTAATGAATTCAATAAATTTTAATTGAATTTTTTCTATTACTTTCCCTCCAATACCTGGTAATTCTTGTATAATATAATCATGAACTATTTCCTCAGAAATCGAAGGTGATAAATGAGAATTTTTTTGAAATTCTTTAAATTTAATATTTGAATCAATTTCATCATTTTGTTGTGGAAATATTGATGAGTCATCAGAATGATAACCAGTTTTATCAATACATTTTGGTGGTTCACTTAAATCTGAATTAATTTCTTCTTCTTCTTCCTTCAGATGTGATGAGAACGGTATGTTAGAATCACTTATTAAACCAAGTATCATATCTTTGTCAACTTTTTGCTTTTTAAGTTTATAATTAATTGGTATGTCATCATTGAATACATTTTCAATGTTTTTACTAGAGGATTCAGGAGGTTTTTGTGAAATAAATCCTTCTTGTGATATTGGTATAGTTGAAGGAATTGTATTATCATAGTTAGCTGAAGTTTCTTTTGTATATGTACGAGCTGATAATGGAGAAATAATATCTGATTTCTGTTCTATTAATGGTGATATTTGTACTGTTTTATTTTCGTCTTGGGCCATATCATTTTCATTACATTTCTGTTGGTCAGCATAACTACCTTGATAATCACCAACTCCATAATTATATGCAGTCAATTCTAATTCATTTGATAGTTCAGAAATTGTTTCTTTATTCACCCAGTCTGGATCTAAATCAATTTCATCGTCAGAATTTTCCTTACATTCATTATAATTATAAGAATCCAAGTAAGGACCAACTAAATTGTTAGATTTATACCATTTTAAATACTCATGGCGTATATAATCAAGAAGATCATCAATATTTTCAAATTTAGTATTTTGTTTTAAGGCAACATTTAAAATATCAAATATAAAATTATATTCTTCATTAATATTTGTTTTTTCGCCAGTTCTTTCTAATATTTTAGATAGATTTGGGGGAATGGTACAATTAAAGTCACTTTCACTTGTTGTTACATCACCTGCACTACTGCTTTCATGCAATATAGTTTTAAAATCATTAATAATAATTTCTAATTCAGCAGTCGTTTTAGGTTGGTGTTTTTTTTCAACAGAATCTTCTTTATATTTCTCATTGCAATACAACGTATAAATGCTATCCTTTACTATAACAGATGATTTGGTTGGGTGGAGTTTCCTGTGTTGAGCCTGTGTTTGTAACCCGGAAATGTATTCTACATCAGTAGATGAACTAGAACTATTCATAATATCTAGTTTTTTCAAATTGCTTTCACGTAATTTTGTTAATTTTCTTCTTTTCTCATTTTCAATATTAATCTTTTGTTCTGATTTTGATTCTGGAGTTTTATCAGAAATTATTGATTTGTCATCAATAAAATTATATGATTTATCAGGATAATTAAAGCATGTTGTAAGATCATATATCCAAGACCATACTGGATTATATCTCTTTAATATTTTAATTTTATCTCTCAGTGTTTTGTTATGCACAAGATTGTCTCGGTAGAGGTTATCACGTCTTTCTCGTAATTCGGCCACTTTACGTTCATTTTCTTGAGCATTTTGCATAGTTGAAGAAGATATATGATATGGTCCTTCCTCTATTTCTTTGGTTCTACGGATTTCGTGCTTTAAACATTGCAAATTTATTAACTGTGATAAAAAATTTTTTAATATTATTTTTCTTACCGTTTTAAAATAAAACATAAGAACGTCGAAATTCGGGTATTTTTTAAAAAATTGTTCTAGATTTTCAACATCATCGAGAATTTTAAAATCTTTTTTACACAAGTTTTCATTCTGATCATTTGAGATAGTCTGCGGAATGGAGCTTTCTGTTGAAATACTTTTACTTTCGATTTTGTCATCCTCATCTTCCTTTGATTTTCTGACATTACATAACTCATTTAAATATCTTTTTAGCGAAATTGATGATATTATGTAAGGGAGTTCATTAGGTTCGATCAATTCTTCCAAAGAACCATTGTCTCTAAGAAGTTATTAAATTATTAATTTATTTTTAATTCAAACGTACTGTTCTAAATTCAATTGCCGTTCATCTTACTTTACTTTACGTCCATTAAGTATTCTTTGTTCTTTGGAGCAATCAAGTTCAGCTAAATAATTGTAAACTGTTAAAAACATCCATATTGGTATTCTTGCCATACCTCCTTCCAAATCATTTGTAAGTAAATCACATACTAAGATCATTGTATTTTTAAGATTCTAGAAAAGGGAACGCATTTAAATTTTATTGGCAGTAGTTTAGTTTGTCTTACAGTTGAAAGCCATCCTGCCATAATTCCAACTAATTTTAACCAGTGCAGTTCTTTCCAATGAAGCATTCCAGCTAAACTCAATAATTTATAAAATTCATCCTAAAAATTAAATTGCTTTTAAATGGAACAAGTAGTGTAGATAAAATATTTTTTAATTACTAATGGTAAAATCATTTCCCAAACTGCTTGTAGTACTCGTTTTTGTACAAAGAAACCTTTACCAATCTGAAATTTTATTGAAAAGATGCGCACTATTTAAAATATTGCAATTATCTATTTGATTGAAAAGGAATGTTAAAGTGTTTTAAAGTCAAAGTTCTAATGAATCGGTTATTAGGCTTTATAGCTATAAAGGAATTGGCATAAACATATGGAACACACTGCAATCAGTCCGAAATTCAAAGTTCCGTCTCAAAATATAAATAAAATTATTGTAAATTACATGTTCAATTAACATTCTTAAACATCCTCTTGTGAGATATTTATTTCGAATTTCTCTTTCTAAACATGTTTTCATTATAGGTGGTTGATCATTAGCTAAACTTCTAAAATATGCTGCTGACCATTTAAGAATATCATGTGGTTGAGTTTTAATGGCAGCTAAAATGGGAATTTTTCGAAGATTTTTTAAAAAATCTTTGTTTAAGATTTGAATTGTGTAGATACCTTTACAGAATTCCTTCATTATTTCAGGTAATTTATGTGGTATTTGAATTTGCTCCGAACAATACAATGGAATCTTTTTGTCTTCCATAATTTTCATAATTAATTTTCATAACAATTTTATTCATATTTAAATTTATTTTAAGTATGATTGATTTAAATTAGTTTGACATTCAAAATAAAAATATTTTTATTTAAATTTTATTAAAAACCAAAAATTTTTTTTTCTGACAGGAGACACGAAAATTTTAGTTTCAAGAGAAGTATTCTTATAGAATCATTTACATTTTGTCGTTGTTCTCCAGAGATTTTGTCCAAGAGGGTTCCTGTAATTAAAGTTTTAATAGTTATAAAACCACTTAGTTATTGGAAACAGGTCGAATTTGTGTCATATTACTGTCTGAGAATTTGCCACATTACTGTATTTGTTTGCCAAATTTCTATCCTCATTCACTGCCATCTTTCAACAGCTTACGAAGAGGTTTGTCAGTGGAGAAGATTTATAACTTAAATTAGAATTCTGAAAAATATCAACGTATCAACAAACCCTAGTTTTCGATATTCTCATTTTCGCTCAACAATTTGAATTTCCCAATTTTAATTGAATTTCATTTTCCTCATATCTTTTGTATTGTGTCTCTGAATCTTATAATGTTTTCTGTAACTAGGACATTTAAAATTCCTTATTCTTTCAATCGAAATTCTTGCCAATTCCCTTAATTACTCAATAAATTCAACACATTTATTCAATAAATTTTATATGGCAAAGGTGAATTTAATTTACTTTGATATTAAAATTAGTTAATGTTGTACATACTTTTACACGTACAGTTTACATATGTTATTCATATTTTATTTATTGTTATATTAACGGAGGCAATAGATTTAATTCTTTTTTGTACTGTAATTTTAACAATATGGTGCGCGGAAAAGTTATTTTCATAAATGCTATTTTTCTGCTTCGTTGTCGTTCATTTTTTTGCCATGTCTTGCGGTAATGCTTCTTATTTCTTATTGTTAAAAAATTTCCTTTCTCCTGTAAGAAAGCCTTCAAGCTGTGTTTAATATTTCTTGGCTCTATATATGCTTTGTATTGTCGATGTTTTCTCATCAAAAGGCGACATTAAAGAAGGAGAAAACGTAATATAATAGAGAAGAATTATAAGAGAAAAAACGATGTTAGTGAGAGCACGAGGGAAAGAGAGGAAGGAAGAGAGCATAAAAAGGTAACGTTATAATTTTCCTATAATTTTTTTTCTTTATTGCATTTTTCTTCTCATAATCCTTTAGAGGAGTACAAATTGAGTGCCAACAGAAATATTATAATTTTTTTTTTGTTGGTGCTCTGTAGAAGTTATTGAAAATATTGGTAATATCAGCAAATGTTTTTTTAAAAGTGGAAGAAGATTCTAAAGGGCAATTTGAATCTCTCTCTTTATCAATAAACAAGGTTTTCTAGTTAAACTTTATGCATTGAACTCATTATTTAAGTCAAGCAATTTTCATCAACAATTATTGTGTTTCCCTTTAAGGAGTAATTTTTGATCTTCTCTTATAATTGCCTTAAAGTTTGCGTTCAAAGTTTGCTTTCAATTTTATATTTGAACTTAATTTGTGAAGAAGAGCGAATGAATTGATTTTTCCATCCATCGCATTGATTCCAGCCGTACCGTCGAAACGAATTTAGGTATTTATACAAAATAATCGGGTCATCGCGATAGAATCTTGTACAAACAAACCACACTAGTAATAACAACTGACAAGAAATGCTCTTACAAACATTTACTCCTGTAGTTGTCATGAATTTGTCAACTCTGTCTCCTTTCAATTTCATTTCTCTTTAACTTCTCTATCTCTCACTTCAATAATTTGCATTGAACAACTTTATACTCTTTCTATTGTTTATATTGGTTCTGTTCTTTGCTTATTTTACCGATAGCATAAACTAAAACGAATTGAGGTTGCATATAACAAAAAAATTTGTATAGAAGGAGTTTTAAAGTGTAGGATAGTAAAATAAAAATAAGTAACAGAGAAATTTGGCTTTTGAAACTTTTATTTCAGTAATTTTTGTTTTGTTTTTTTCCTTTTATTTTGCAGTTATCCTTTGAAATTTTTTTTGTTTTGCCAATACTGGGAAAAAAAATCTGATACTAATAGGTTCTTTATAATATTTGTGTTTTTTTTTTTATTTTTGTGAATATTTTGAAGAGAGAGAGAGAGAGAGAGAGAGAGCGAGAGAGTGCAAAAAAATATTTATTTCATAAACATGGAAAATTTGATTTTTATTTTAAATTTTTATACTTTCAATACAAAAAAAAAATTATTGTTTTGAAAAAAAAAAAAATTATACGAAAAATATGATAAAATCGTGTATCAAAGTTAAAAAGTAATCATGGCGTATAAAATATTGATAAAAATATCTATATGATTAAATATTGGTTTTAAAATATTAAGGATGCATTTACAGTTATACCGGAGTGAGTTCAAAAAAAATGCGAGTCATGATTGTTACATTAACAATTTCGGAATAAAATTTTGTTAGCAAAGTTCGGAATTAGCGTCGTGTTTTTTGTAATTGCTGTCAAGTTTTGTGTTGTTATAAACGGAACTCACGATACGGGTGAAAATATCAATTTTATTTTACGAAATTTGGTAATAACATTGGAATTCATGTTACGGAGGAATTTAAATTTCAATTTCGATATAAAAAATTATGTTAGTTCGAAATTGATTGCGTAATTTTACGAAATATTGTGTTGTTGCGAGTGGATTTCATCAAATAAGTGAATATTAACTCGTACGGTTACGGAAATTTGATTTTATCGGAAGCTCTTATCAATTTGATCGATTTGATTGATTCGAAATTTTTTGATCAATTTGATCGATTCTAAGATACGGATGCCTCAAAACTTTGCAATATTTTCATGTATATTCAATTGATTTGTAATAAGATTATTTGATAATTTTTTAAAATTACACTGTATTTTGGATAGAAGTCATTGTAATTAAAGACACCGGTACCTTGAGCCTCTCAATTTTATTCAAATCATTGAAAACGTTCCTTTATTTGTAAATAAACCGAATCTGTTTTCTTATTTTTTTTTTCACAATAAGAACATTATTTTCTATTACCAATAAATATTTTTTTGCAAAAGTCTCTTTTTTTTTTTTTTGTTAAACGATATTATAAAAGTAGGTATTATAGGAATACATTTAAAAAAGTTACCAATAAAAATGAAAAAAATAAAAATGAAATTTATATAAAAATCTTCATTTCTTTGTGTAAAACATGTTGCAGTAAACGTTTTTATAATATATTTAAAATTAATTTTGTTTTTTAAGAAACAAGAGTATAAGTATTATATGGGCTGTTGTATAGGTATAACAGTATCCTTTAATATTCCTTGTTTTTCAAAGAAAAATTTTCTATTTTATTTTCAAGGATTGCGCTCCAATAATATTCTGTTCTGTTCTTCTAATATTCTGTTCTTTTTCTCTTCTTATATACATTATACCGTTATACTGTTATACTACTCGTAAACCGTAGCTACTTTCATATTCATCGTATTTGAAAACTTAATTCTTTCTATAATATTATAATATAATACTGGTATGTGTATATGGAAGTGAACCAATCATAAAAATATTAAATAAAATATTTTTATTTTATGTTTTACTTATAAAATGAATACAAGATGAAAAAAAAAAACAAGTAATAGAAAAAGAAAGTAAAAATTTTATATTTTTTTTTTTACCCTATCACCACCATATACAATTGTTTTTATATGCACAAGTAACAGTATCCTCGTACAAGCATATAGAGAATTGTACACATTGCACATACTGTAAACTATGAGCAGAGCCATCTATTTGTACTATCATACATTTTAATGCTTCACTCAATTTAGATCAAAGAATAAAATATGGTTTTTATGTATTTTTATTTTTTTTTTGGTATTGTGTACATACAATTGAATTCTCTGAAATGCAATTTGGCATCTAAAATCAACAGCAGTAGTAGCAATTTTTTGGAACAACAAAAAAAAAATAAAATGTTCATTCAATCAATAAAATTTGAAAATCATATCGCCTAAAGAAATTTAAAAAAAAATTTTTTTTAGTACTATTGTTTTTTTTGTTTTTCCAGATTATTCTTCAGCCCTCATATATTGTGATCGCGAAAATTTATTATTGGTTGATTATTCAAAATTTGTTATTGAGTTTATAATATGAGAGGTGAGTGAATTTTGAATTTTGAAAATTAGATCAAATTTAACGGGATAAAGCTGCTTGTCTTGTTCGGAAACAATGTTTAATATGATGATCGTTTTTCATATTAGACGCAACTTGGATTTAATGCTGGTATGTGTAACAAATGTTTAATATATATTGTAATTATAATATTGGTTTAGTTTTCATACTAGTACTTTTCATACTATCAAAAAGATACATTTAAAAATGCAGTACTATTGCATCAGTATGTTATGCAGTACTATTGTAGTACTATTACATCTGTCAGCGCTATCAGAAATTTATTTGAAATGTCACTCATCTTTGCTTTTCTTTCGACTTTCCTTACATTATATATAATTAAGGATTTCGAAAGAATTTGAAGGAATAGAAGTGCGCTATCATCATAGTAATGAAACAAGGCGCCAGTAAATATCATAGTGCCCTCATTGTCCTTTTTGGGAAAAATTACACTAAATCCCTTGTGTTTATATCGATTACAAATTCAATATTTTTTCCCTGTTTCGTTTCTAAAAACACGACAGTCTTAATTGAAAACTTTAATATTTTATATAGATTTCAAAGGGCGCCATCATCACATTCATAAAGGAGGGGGTCAATAATCCCCTATTTCTATGCATTTTTTTGGAAAATACAAAATAAATCGTAGTTATTCAGACAATCAATTGATTCTAAACATATTTTACCAATTTTTTAATAATTTGCAAATTTTTATTCAATTCTTTTAGATTTCAATCCTAGAGTTATGCAAATCAAATTAATATTTTGGGATTTTTATTTTTTGTTTTTTACTCATTTATTTTTGGGAAAGCGATTCAAAAATTTATTCTATATATTTTTATAAAT